CTGATAAAAGGCGGGCCAAATGTCACCAGCCCTGTGGTCATAAATCCCGTGCAAATTCAAATCTTGCATCTCTGCGCCTAAAAAAAAATATTGTGGCTCAGGACTGGAGCTCAGTAGTACGGCAAGGGCACACGTGTGACCATGCAGCGAAAATGGGACAGCCCACCACCCTTTGTGCCCAGAAAAAGAATGAAGTCTAAGCCCTCAGGTCGAGTTGCCCTTTCCCCTCCTCCTCCTCCTCCTCCTCTCACGGTGTCCAAGGCCGGTTTCAATGCCCAGAGCGTTGTGAAGCCCCCAGGGCCCTTCGCTCTTTCCTCTTCCCTCCCCCCATGGTGGCTGCACCACCAGGTCAGGGAATGTAGCCTCAGAGGGTGTTTAATGGACAACAAAGGGCACTCCAGAGATGAGAGGGGGCAGGACAAGAACGAGCAGAGTGGGAACGCCAGAGTGAACGTGGGGGATAGTAAAAGAGAACAGGGCGACAAGGACAAAATGACTTCAGCGACTCCAAATTGCCTGTTGAACTTCCACAGACGACTCGGCCACACGTTTGCCTTTTCAATTTTTTTATTTACAGCACCACTGAACATCTTTCACCGTTAAAGGTGTGCCTGTGCCCGCACCGTACCGGGGGACTTCATACACGATCCGCACTGAGCTATTTCAACTTTGCAGCTTCCAGGGGTGTGCAGCCTTCTGGCGTCTCTGCGCCACACTGGAAGGATGTGTCGGGCCACACATTAAATACACTGTGACACGTAATCACAAAAAAATCTTTAAGGTTTTAAGTAAATGTATGATTTTGTGCCCCACATGGTCTTGGGCCACACATCAAATCCATTGCGACACATAATCACAAAAAAAATCTCATAATGTTTTAAGTGAATTTATGATTTTGTGTTGGGTCGCATCCACAGTCACCCTGGGCTGCAGGAAGCCTGAGGGCCACAGATTGGACACCCCTGATAGGCTTTTCGTAATTCCCCCAAATGTGACGATTACATTTTGGCAAACATTGCCTGGGAGGATGGAAGGAAGACTTGAAGCAACAGAACTCCACGGTACTGTAACATAACCTCAGACCGCCAGCAGGGGTCACTCTCTCTCGAAAATCAGCGTCCTGGCTCGTTTATTTCTGTTAGAATGCAAAGCAGGTGCGGAGTCTCTGCCTGGCTTTGTCCAAGTGGAGACCGTTGATCCATTTGGCAACATTCAAGAGCGTTCCATGTAAACAAAAAGGTCCAAAATAAAACACTGGGAAAGGGAAGCTACAGAAAACGACACATCTGCATTCGGGAAACTCCCAGCTCATAAGAACATTTCGATTACAGTGAGCATTACGAGGCAAATTCCATTTGAGCAGCTAATTTCCTGATTCAATAACTTCATTCTCACTGCACGCCTGGGGCCACTCACACGCAAATGCACTCAGAAGTACAGACAGGTGACAGTGTATCAGGTACATGACAGCTGTACAACAGGCAATCAATCCATCAGTGATTGTTACTCAGTCTGAATTTGAAACACAGATCAGGTTGCGGTTCCTCATTTTTTTCCCAAACCAGTCTTTTTCCTCGGCCATCAGTTGCCCAAGTGCGCAGGTACATTTAAAAGCAGGATCCTTTCAAAGCAGAAGATGCATTCTGTCCTCTTGGGGAAACAATGGATATGATTTGGCAATGGGTGAGTTAGCCACAAATGACAAAGACTCTCCACCAACATCTGAACTTGCCGCCAGCAGTAAAATGCGCTGCTTGCCGGGGGCCAAAACCAGGAAACATCATTAAGTTTGCATGGGTGGCAAGTTAGGTACTTTAACCCCAAGAATCAGTTGGTGCGATGTTACCTGGTCCAGCTTTGCAGTGGGTTCAGCACATTGAGAATACGCATGAGTTGAAGAGATAGCACAGAATAGTGAGAGCAAATGCCTTTTTCTCCATTTCATTTGGTGTTGTGATGACTCCTCTATATAATCAAATTGGTAAGGGCCTTTTTTTTTACAAATTATAGTTTTTCTTTAAGTATCTAAAGTTCTTGTGTAGAGATGATGTGATTATAAGTTTTATAAGTTATAATGCTTATAACTAGTTTGATCTCATCTTTTAAAATATTTTTTAAAAGAGCAAAAGAACTCATAGATGGAGAACAGATGTCAGCCAGTTGGGGGGAGGGGAAGTTAGGGGGTGGAGGGATGGAGCAAAAAGGAAAAAGGACTCACGGACATGGAGAACACTGAGGTGATTGCTGGGGGTGGGGGGTACCAGGGGACTAAATGGTAACGGAGAAATATAATAATGGTCATATAAAAATAAGAATAAAATGTTAAAAAATAAACATAAAAGAGCAAATTCTGCAGAATGGATTATAATAAAAGGCTTGTTGGGCCCTGGCAGAACGTCTGTCAACGTTATCCTTCGATTACCCTTAGGTTACCCCAGTGGTTCAGAAGCAGGGGCACTTTGTCCGCCAGGGGACGGGATGCCGTGTCGGGAGACATTTTTGGTCGCCACAACCTGGGGTGCTGCTACTGGCATCGCATGGGTAGAGGCCAGGGAAGCTGCTGAAATCCCACAATGCACACGACAGCCACAGACAGCGGGAATCACCCAGTTTAAAATGTCAGTAATGCTGATCAAGAAAGCAGAGCAAAGCTCTCGCTCTCTCACAGCGGGGCTGCTTTAATATAATCCAAAATCTTCCTCCGTAAACTCTTTGAAGTGCAAAGCACCCCTTCCTCCTGAAGTTCCTGATTTACCCCCCACTGGACTTCAGTGAGCATGTGGCCAAAAAAGAGAAAAGTAACTACAGATGGGGAATATTTTGAATTCCTCTTCAAACAATGTTTCCCTATTTCACTGATATTTTATTAAAAAATTAGAGGGATAAGAATTTTTTTCCTTCCACAGTGGACCCTGGTGGCCAACGGATATTCAGAATGGCCAATTAACATGGGAAAAAAATGAACCTCTATTTTCAAAAAAACAATTGAAAGCTGGAAAATAAAAGTGGCTATAGTATTTCCCAGAGCTGTGCTGAAATACTGCAGAAATAAAAGTGGATATAGTACTTCCCAGAGCTGTGCTGAAATACTGCAGAAATAAAAGTGGATATAGTACTTCCCAGAGCTGTGCTGAAATACCGCAGAAAGGACTCTTCTTGGAGAACTAGCAGGGACAGAAGGCGGATGCTGAGGGTCCTCCCCAAACCCTCCAGGTTAGCGTGCAGGGTGGCAGGGTGGCCGGACCTGACCCGACACGCAGACGACGCCTCAGACTTTTTAAAAGTATTTTCAGTTTGGGAGAGAGCGAGAGAATTTGGGGGCATTCGCTAAGCACACAGGAACACTAAACTGAATGACAGTATATATATTTTTTAATGTCAGAGAACAACAGTGTTCTCTAAATCCACTGCTGCCCCGCTGCTGCCGGGACCAAGCGGGGCTGATTCAAAGGGAGGGAGCAACCCTCAATCTCCTCCAGAGCATTAAAGTGCAGGGCCGCTAAAGGGCTGGGGGAGCCCAGGCCAAAATAAAAATGCTCCGCAGCAGGCGTCACAGCGCCAGCGATGGCAGGTGAGGCACCAAACCCGATACAAAAATATTGCACTTCCTTAGCCCGTTTGGACGTTATTAAATGCACTCAGTCAAAATGTCTGAAAACGGTATTATTTCACCTTGGCTCTACTCCATGATTTGGTATATTCATAAATGTCCATCAAGATAACTTTTCTGAGGTTAAATTTCATTATATTGGCATTAAGTGCCTTTTCCTTCCTTTCCAGGAAAAAAAAAACACTTTAGAGATTAATTAAAGAACATTCTTTAGATGTCAACGAATGTGCATTCCTGTAGCCAGTTGCCCAAAAGTTATATACCCTTATCATTTTTCCCTTTGAATAAATGCAGAATAATGTGACATCAAATTACACCTTCAAACTTGGAAGTAAGACGTAAGTGTCTTCTCTGGCTGCAGAAGGGCATTTCAAGCAACATTCATGAAGGACACCTTGGTCTGCAGTTTCATAGAGAATCCTCTGCTTTTGTGTGAGTATATGCCATAATTTTAATATTACAAATAAAATATCACATGTCTCTCCCTTTTTTGGCAATAAAGCATATATAGCCTAATCCAATAAACTCCTAGAGACAAAGCATATTTAGGTATTTTTCTATTCACCTAAGTCATAGGGAACTTAAACTCGGCCAATAGATTTTCGAGACATAGAAAATTCCCTATCCTACTGATGACAGTGTCTTGCTTCTTTTCGCCTTGGTGCTCAAGGCTAAGCCACATTTTTTAAAAATAGTGTTTTGCTGGGAAGTGTGGGTGCTTTTTCTGTCACCAACCCAGCACTTCTGATGGATACTGAGCAGGAACCCAAAGCTTAGGGTCTAGGGGGCATATTCTGTCCACTTTGCAGCCCATCAAAGAAGATTTTAGTCCTCTTTCGAGGTACCTCCCATTTTCTCACAGGCTATTTTGAGACTGTTCCAGTTAAAATATTGCTGCCTGTACTATTTTTTAAATACACAACAGATGCTTCTCCAGTACCAATATAGGCCAGTTATGGTTAAAAAGTCAAACCAGAGTTGAATTTGGTAACATGGGCCAGAGACATAAAAGTGTAAGCTCCTCAAAACACAATAAAGTCAGCGAAGAAATTCCTTCTCATTTCTCCCTTTTACATATAGTTTTCCACCAGGCTACTAGTTGGCAACCGTAATAAATACTTAAAAATAGGTCTAATTAAAGAAAATTCAGTCTAGATTAATTTGGGGGTGGGAATGAGTATTCAATGTCATATATTTGTCTAGCCCAGAAATGGTCATTTTCTCTTGGTAAATGCTACCTAGATTAATGTGATCATCTAAAAAAAGACTCCAAGGAAATCTGGACAAATGAGTAGGCTGTTACTAAGCAATCAATGAAAACTGAGTCCCAATGGACTGACTCTAAAAGTGTATAAATCCTCGTGTCACACTTAAGAAAATAGAAATATTCTTATAGTGCCAAGTGAAAAAAGAAAAATGTTTTATATATTTAAACATTTGAAACACCCAGTTCACAGTAGAAAGTAAACATTTTTTTTTCCACTTCACAAAATGAAATGGTCAAAAAGTATTTTCTTCCTGGCCTCGCCAACCCCCAATAAACTCTCCTTCCTCTACTGTTCTGAGATTATGTTCCATCTGAATGGGCACCCATTTTACATTTATTTAAAAATTAGTTGAAGGGAAAATGGCCACAGTGATGAGACTATTTTTTCCTCTTTTATAATCTTCCAGTGGCACGGGGAAAAAGCAGCCATTACGGTTCCTAAGTTTCTGCCGCGTACTTGGCCATGAGCTCTGCTGAGAGTCAGCTGGAAGTTCCAGTCGGTGTCAGACAGACACTTCTTTGAGTCCTGTGCCCACACTCACTGAGTCCCAGCCTCACCTCTCCCTGATACATAGACACACGAGTGCAGGTGGCGTCAGAAAACAAAGGAGCAAACTCGAACTGTTGACGAGCCGCGTGAGGCACCCAGGATCCTGTACAGGGTCACCTGATCGGTCATGCAAAAATTAATAGTCAGTCGGTGAACATCCCAAAGAGCCAGCCCCTCACTGACCCCAGACAGGGCGCATCGTGGGCGTGGTCAGCGCCTGCGACACACCCGCCTCTTTCCACGAAGCGCCTCCTCTGTCCAGGCTGCGTGCGGGGGTCCCAGGTCAGAAATGCGTGCTGTTGGCATAACACCGGTCCCCCTGCGTTTTGGTAAAAGCTTGTTGTCCGTGACCACTCACACAGCCACCCGAAGACACATCAATAACCGCGTCCGTAACTTCTCCTCTACCGAGGCCTCCCCCCCGGGACGTGTCTGGCGGGGCACAGCCGTTGTGCTCCGCAAAGCCGTTGACGTGCGCCAGCGGCAGCGCGGGCGGCGGGCAGCACAGGAGCTTGGCGCAGCCCTTGGAGACGCAGGGCGCGCTGCAGAGCGACAGCAGGTCCTTCTGCTCCGGGGGCTCCTGCGGGTCGCAGGTCTCCAACTGGATGGTCACGCTGTGGATGCCCGCGTGGTGGAAGATCTCTCGGATTTTTGTGCTGACGTCCTGGTATCGCCCGTCCTTCTGACACTTGATGTGCAGGGTGGCGATGACCTTCCCGCTGACGAGCTCCCAGACGTGCACTTCGTGAATGCTGCGGACGCCCGGCACGGCGGAGAGCTTCCCCACTGGAACGGGGAAGAACAGACGACAGCCCGGGTGAGGGCTAGAAAGGGAAACACGGCCCCACTTTGGGGACACGCGGTCCCTTTCAAGCGTCCCCACCAAAACGATGGATGTACTAAGAATAACAGGAAGCACAATAGCCTCACCTCCACGAGTCCATTTCCCCATCACCTCCTTTCTCCTCTCCGAATTCCTCTACCGAACACTGCTAGCCCGTAACAGGCAATGCGAGAAAATACGTTTAACAACAAGAGCAGCAAAGGCCCAGGGTTGCCGGGTTCACGAAGGAACGGGCACACGGGTGGGCAGCAGTGGCCACAGAAGGCGGGGAGTCTTTACTAAAGGGGATAATGGGGTCATGCAGACCTGAGACCTTCGCCAGCGATCCCAACACTAGGAATTTAACCCACGGGAAATCACCAAATACTCATTTACAGGAACTGTTTGGGCAATGCCCTTTGTATAAATTTAAAAAATGGGAACAATGAGGAAATAGTCAAATCAACTCTATAATAGAATATGATACAGTTGTGAAAAATTAAGTTGCATATTTAAGGATAGGAGAAACGAGCAAATAGTTAAACTACATATATGGCATGACCTTTCTTTTTTTTTTAATAAAACATCAGTGTATATACACCAAAAAAAATATTTTTAAGCAGATACAGGCCTGTTTTATTGAATGATTGATACAAAAATATTGAGAAAGGTCATTTCTGGGCGGTAGGGTTAGGAGAGAGTGCTCTTCTCTTATTCAGGCTCTCCCATTCTCCCCACACGGCCCTGAGTTCAAGTGCAGACACACGGGAGTGAACAGTGATTGTGGGCACAGGCCCTGCAGCCAGCCAGAGTCTGAACCCCAGCTCAGTCGTGACCTTCAGTCACTACCTGCATGCCCTGGGTCCACTGGCCTAGCCCCGCCCTCTGTGCCTGGGTCCCCTTATCCATCAGCTAGGAATGATAAAGATTGCATTTCACTGGGTTGTGTTCAGGATTATGATGAGTTAATTTAAGGAACGCGTTTAGAATACCCAGCATCTGGCAAGTGCCATAACAGGGTTGCTGTTGGGATCACTATCTATGTTTCACAAATTTCTTCTTACACCCACTCTGCCCGCACCACTGAGCTCAGGGCGGGCGCAGGGAATGGAGGCTGGTTACCTCGGCTCTGTCCCTGGAGGCGGCCAGAGAGCTGACCGCACCCACTGCCCCTCAGAGGGAGAGTCCACTCACTGACACTGCCAATGAAGAGACCACCGCCAACGACAACCAAAAGGAAGAAGACCCCGGCCAAAGATCGTAGGAGGAGCCAAAGTTGACAGCAATGGCTGGACCGGCTGGTCCCAATGCTGCTGTCAGCAGAGGGCCCCTGGGCTATGACCTTCACAGAACAGTCACAGTCTTCACAGGGGACCGGCCAGGCATGGCCACACAATGAATTAAGACCCATTTATATCTAATTTCGGGTATTTTTCCTGAAATAAGTTCTTCCAACTCCCAGCCTCACGGCTTCGTAGTGGATGGGGCCCTACTTCGGGTCCACCGGCTCCACGGTTCCACCATGGCAGGTGGAACCACAGCACACCTGCAGGAAAAGGGTTTTTCTGTAGAAACATAATCTCCACTTAGAAACACCAGACATCATGTTGCACCTCCAGTTCCTCCCCGACATCTGGAGAGCGCCCCTTCAGAAATGCCACAGAGTCTCTGAAACTCTGACCCTCGGATGCACATAACTCTAGTGAGAGTTTGACCTCTGTCGGGGGAGAGCAAAAAACAAACACACACAAATAAACCCGCCAGGGTTCATTATGGAATGAGGTCGTGAATGACCTGCATGTAAACGCTGTCCCTTTTACAGTGCTGGAAGAGACACGGTGTGTTACGTGCCCCTGAAAATCAATGAACTAGAGAGCAGGATCTAGAATTCCAGCAGCCGTGGTTTCAGGAGGAGGAGAGGGGCCTTACTGGAGAGAAAACGAACCCCTGACGTGAAGGTAAGTAGCCAGGACTGGGTACTGCCTGAGCGCTACGTCCTCCGAAAACGTGCGGTTGCGTCGAGGCACCATGCGGTGTGAAGGACTTTTGGCTCCTGGAGCCGCGGGGCATCTCACTACGCTCCAGAACAGGTGACAGGGTGTCCGCTTCCTGTGGGGGTGACTAGTTTGGGGTGCCTGAAGCAGACCCCGCTCTGCAGGAACGCTGGCCCGAGGGCCTAAAGGACGGCAAGTGTGCAGGGGTTCCAGACCACACTCGCCCGACTTACTCAGCTCTTCCATGTTGACCCCTTTGGGGACCATCTGCAGCAGAATGATAGCGGTCTCCTTGATGAGTGGGAAGGCAGATGACAGGATGATCATGACCATGGCGACCGTCAGGCTGGGGTCGATGTAGCACTGCCAATTACACGGGTCCTCCTCTCTCAGGGGCCGCACGTAGAATATGATGGCCGTGATGACCACCACCACTGACCCCAGCGCGTCTCCCATCACGTGCAGCAGCACACCTGCCGGGAGAGAGCGAGACCGCTAGCCAGAGCGCAGGTCCGAGTTGGGGGGCCCTGGGACCCTCGGGGACTCGGGGTCCCGCGTCTGTGAAGGCCTGTGGCTATTTGTCTTCTCTTGGGTTGGAACAGCAAGACGGATTCCAGTCTCTTTAAAAAAATGGTAAATGTTTTTGCAGAAAACAGAACCCCAGGCCTCTGAGAATTGGGAGTGGGGACCGGCCTGGGACAATTCTGAGCTGCAGTCGCCTGTAGGAAGAGGGACTGGGCCAGGTCACCGTGACTCATGGCTGCCACCCAGCACCCTTCCGAGGGCACCAAGCTGGAGACCAGAGGCTGCACAAATGATTTCTTCTTCTTTCAGCCTGTACTTTTGATCGGTTTGAACGTTTTTAAGATGAGAGGGAATAGGAGATGTCTTTTATGTTCTGGGTCCCTTTGCCCCTCCCCCATGTGCCTTTGCCACCTTCTCACTCAGCCCGTGGTCATTTAAACTGAATTTTTAAAAATATTTATTGATTTGAGAAAAGGAGGAGAGAAAGTGAGAGAAAGAAGAAAGAAAGAAAGAAAGAGAGGAAGGAAGGAAGGAAGGAAGGAAGGAAGGAAGGAAGGAAGGAAAAAAGGAAGGAAGGAAGGAAAGGAGAGAGAGATACATTGATCTCTTGCTCCACTTCTTTATGCATTCAGTGGTTGCTTCTTGTACGTGTCCTGACTGGGGATCAAACTCGCAACCTTGGCACATTAGGACAAAGCTCTGACCCACTGAGCTACCTGACCAGGGCCCAAACCACGTCTGGTTTAAGAAGTCCTCAAGAACAGGGACTCCAGCAATGTTCCCACTGCATAAAGAGCCAATAAAAGAAAATTAAAATTCTACAGATAATAAAAATTGCGGATGCCTTTAATGAAGGAGGCAGTTTCTGGAGGCTTCTCTTCAGCCCCTTTGTGATACTGGAAACATGCAACCCCGGCAAAGAAGGTCCGGAGGTCCAACTGTTTGCTAGACACAGAGACTGCGATGCAATGAACTAAGTGACAATCTTACGAGAAGGATGATACACAATCAACACCAAGAATTATTTTTTTATAGAAAGCAACATCTTAAGGACTCTCTGAGGTGGCTGTACTTTCTATTTTACAAATGAGGACATGCTGAGGCTACTTATCCAAAGTCACACAGCTGGGAAGTGTCGGAGCAGAGATACAATTCGGGGTAGCCTGACCAGAGAACCATCATGCAGCGGAGTCCTCGATTCTAATGTCAGGTTTTCCTTCTGAGAAATCTCATGGTTAGCCCCTGAGGACCAGTGTTATAAAATACCTTCCAAATTTATTTCTTCCACCATCCACAGTAAGAACCACACGTCACATCCCAGCACGCACAGAGAGAAACAACTGGACCTCACGCTGGACGCACGCAGTAAAGGTTTCTGAGCAGACTCCTAGAGACAAGGAGCTCATCTTGGGAGACGACTCAATTGCCTGATGAGGCTCCCAAGGTAGCTTTGCAAAGACAGGACACCCCTCATGCTTGACCTTCCCTTGCTGTCTCTAGATAAGAACAGAACTCAAAAACAAAAAACTGGCATGTATCACGAACGAACAACTAGACATCAGCTAGAATATGATGCACGACCCAGCACTTGGAGAAGCTGCTGTGCTGCTGAGTCGGATGCAGAGCGGAAGCGCAGTTGGTTAGCTCTGGGCGTTGGCAAGTGGTTACGGAGGAAAGGAGAGGCCCTTCTCATCGGGGAGAAAAAGGAGAATTAGAATGAAAGGCCTCGCCAAAGGAGATTCCTTTTCAAATGGTGTCGGGATTGCTCCCCCTTTATTTATAGTTCTACAGACACGCCAAGGGCTCGTTGTCTTTCTGACATCCTGTTGCAACCTATTTTAAGGTAGCATGTTTGACCCCATTAAATAAAATCGATCACAGCCAAGCACGCTGACAAGAAGTTTTAAAGAAGTGAGCTCTCATGGCTTTGCAATTGGAGATGGAGTGCGTTTCTTAGAAGGCATTTTTTACATTTTATTGGAATGGGAGAAATAGTAATGCAACCCAAGAAACAACTTTTGTTCACAACAATCCCCATCAGATGCTTGCTCCCCTGCAGATTGGGGGAGGTCCTGCTTTCTGATGCCGCAGCTTACATGTCACGCATGTGAGCGTCCAGTGGACTGTGCCGAGTCCAGAGGCGGGGTGAGCTCCTGGGGAGGACCCCGGACAGCAGCCCTGCCTCTGGGACCCCGGGAGAACAGCGAGTGGGGGTGAATCTGAAAGGCACCAGACTCCCTGGACCCTGTTTGCTCTTCTGTAAAGGGGAAAGGGGAGAGTTCTTTTTCCCCGAAGGCCTTCCAGCCCTTTCTCTGAATCGTGACTCCAAGAAAAGGACACTGGACTCAAGGGAAGGCCAGTCTCCCACCTCGCCTGAAATACGGGGTGGCTCCTGCCGGCCAAAGCATAGGCGCTGAGCTCAGCCTGACCCAGGCGGCCGAGCTGTGAGCCCAGCAATTCCCCTCGCCACCTGGATGCCAGCCTGCCCGCCTGGTGAGACTGCTGCCACCCTAAGTGACTCAATCGTGCCTATGGCCGCGTGCGGAGCAGGCCCCGCCATAAAAATCTCCGCTGCTTTTCCTCCCGTGGGCCCGAGCACCGTGCAGACTTTGTCTCACACCGCCCAGGAAGCAGACATTATCATCCTCGTGTTGAAGAGCAGGCCATTAGAGGCTTACAGAGGAGGTCTCGGAGCTGTAAGTGGCAGAGCCAGGACGCAAACTCAGCCAGTCTGAGCCCACCTGTCAGCCGCTCCACCAGGTGTAGTAAGGCATCTCACCCCTGACGTTTTTCTACCCAGGAGCGAGGTCGTTTTTAGACTGAAAATTAGTGAGATTATTATGTTTCCCCTATGCGATGCTTCCCAAACTAGGTCACACTGCCTATTGGTACCTGTTCTTAACTCTTCTCTGCCTCTCTCCGAGTACTGGCCCTGTTTCTCTGTAACGTCAGAATGACTCATGGACATAACGTGCTTGGAAAGGTTAAAGCACTAGGATGGTGAGCGCGATCTTAAAACCTACAATACACGTTCCTTAAACAGAACCTAAACAAAAGAAGATGAAGAATAGCGATTTTTTTTATTGCAGGTTCCCTTTCCAGAAAGATTCACCACCGAGCTCTTTAGAAACTCCCTGTTGTTGCAAAGTATAAGATTATGTAACCACTACGCTGAAACCAAGACAAACTCATATCGAATGTAAATGTAACTGAAAAAATAAAATGAAAAAAAAATAAAAACAATGGGTGAGGAACCAAAGATCTTAGAGAAACTTTCCCAACCCCTGAGAAGAGCAGGTCATCTCATGTCCACTAGTATCACTAGTATCCAAAATAGTATCACTGAAGTCCTACCTCGTTTAAAATCCCAAAAGTATTAGGTAAGCTCAGTGCTTTCATTAGCCCTGGTTGCTCTATGGACAATAAGACTATACAGCTAACCGATGTCAATTCATTATTTAGAAATGTCTATATAGTCTGTGTTACTCTAAAAGCTTTCCCTTCGTTGATTTGATAATCACCATTCTTACTACAATAAAAACTAAGTAATTAAATACAAAAAAAGAACCCCCCCCCTGCAGTTAAGTTTCTAAAATGAATTCATTCAGAATTTTTAGGAGCTCGTATGTTCTTGTCATTTTCTGATTTTCCCTGTGGATCCCTCCCGGGTATCACTTTGTAAAATAGACGTGAGACTCAAAAATAAAGATGTCTGCTGGACGACTAGATTTTCTTTATATTATTTCCATCTATGCCGACTATAGTCTCCCCCAAACCATCTGAGGGTAAAGGGTAGCAGAGTCCATGCTGAAAGTCTCAAAACCAAGGTTGGGGATTGACCCAAAGCAAAGCAAAGTGAGTGCCCCAGAAACGGGAAGGGAGGGATGGCAGACACAGCGTTGGTGCCCGGGGAGGACTGCGCCTCTGGACTCCCTGGGCTGACCTTTGCCCGGTGCCCTGACCTTTGGCCCTTGGCAGGGGAAGGCTGTGGGTGTGCCTCCCCAGAGTCCCCACTGCAGCCCTGGGAGTGGCGATTGGAGTCCGGCAACAGACCCATCCCGGAAGCAGATTTTTGGCAGAAATGACCGAGGCCATGGGGGCCCTTCAGCGATGCCACCTTGGATAGCGGACCACCTACTCACTTCCCACCTTTACCAAAAGGATATCCAGTCAACACAGGCTGCATGTTTTGTTAGCAATGTCCATGCCTGGGCAAAAGCTAGTGAAATGGGGACAGGCCACTGAGCTGGGGAGGGGGTCCTGGAGTGAGCAGCGTGAGCGTGGGTCTGAGTGGAGCAAGGGTCAGCCATCAGCAGCGAGCGTCCCCCTCAGAATCGATGCTGCGATGACGCAAGGGGCAGGGGCAGAGTCTGTGCGTGGAACCTGCCTGCTCGCTAACACGCCCCCTTCAAAGGCAAACAGCACTCGCAGCGCAGCCCATGTGCATCGCCGGGCAGGATTCCCCGGGGGCCCCAAGTCAGCCCTACCTCTGATGTTCAGGGCTTCTGACTTCTTCTCCTTTTTTATCGTCTCTTCTGGCTCATTCTGGGCGTTCAGGGGGTCACCTGCATTCAAAGAAGAAACCTTGTGTTGTGCATAAGTTCTACAAATAAAAAGAACCAAGGGTCTCAAAAAAAAAGGTTCATTATTTCAAATTTCTCCTAGCTTATCAGACCCCCCACCCACATATACGTTCACACACAGAGCCAGGGACTGCCCCTTGACCTTAGCCTTGGAGCCCACCTTTGAACTTCATTCACAAATCTCATACAATTCTAAACCAAAAGAGGCAGGCGGCACCCCCGAACCCCTAACTCCCAAGGGGACAGGATGGGCAAAGGGGGAGGGAGAAAACAGTGTAAATAGCCTCTGAAGAAGGGGGGAGGAGTGGGGGGAGCGCTACCTGTTGCCCAATGATAACTGATTTCCAAGGAAATCAATACTTCTGTACAGAAAGAATGGGGGGAAGGGAATACACACAAAGCAGGCCCAAGGATCCAGGAGAGAAAAAAAAATCGTGGGGAATAAGAGAAATCGTGGGAAATATGTTGAGTTAGCAGAGGAGGAATAAAGCGGGACTACAGAGGAAATGGATTTTTTTTTTTAAGCCGAGAGGAAAAAAGGGGGCGTGGGAAGACTGGGAGGGGACCGCGAGAGGCGAGAGCAGGGGAGGACACAGCGGTCCAGAGGATGCACCCGAAAGGCACCTGCTACGTTGGCGAACACGATCGCCCCCTTCCCTGCGGTCTTTCCCAGCGAGGCCACGCGAAGGGTCGCGGCAGAGTCTGGGTGGGCACCGCCCTGCGGCCCCGCGAAAGCGCCGCCGCCAGCGCCGCCCTCTGCCACCTGCGGCGGGCGGCAGCGGCGGCGGCGGCGGCAGCGAAAGCAGGCGAGCCAGGAGGCGCAGTCCTGGAAGACGAGCAGCCCCACCACGTTGACCGCCAGCCCCAGGGCGCCGACGATGAGCACCAGCTCGGGGTCGTCGATGCGCTCGGGCCGCACCAGGCGCAGCACCGCCTCCACGAAGATGGTGAAGCAGAGCGCAGTGAGGAAGACGGCGTTGCTGAGCGCGCCCACCGCCTCGGCGCGCCCGTAGCCGTAGGTGGCCCGGGAGCCCCCCGGGGCGCGGCGCGCGATGTAGCCGGTGCTCAGCCCCACGCACAGCGAGATCAGGTCCGACAGCATGTTGAACGAGTCGGAGAGCAGCGCGATCGAGTTGCCCAGGTAGCCTGACACCAGCTCGGCCACGAAGAAGATGACCGTGAGCACGAGCATGAAGATCAAGCGACACGTCTTGCCCGAGTAGCGGCCCATGTTCCCGCAGTGCGCGCACCGGCCACGACAGGTGGCGCCCCCCGACTCAGTGGAGCCCGGTACCCGCCTCCCGGCCTCCCTGCCGCCCAGCGCTGGGCTCTTTATAAGGTGGAGACAGAGCGCGCAGTCTCCGAGTCTCCGCACGGCCAGAGTCTAAAGGACTGGGCCGGGCGGCCGTATCTACACGGACCTTATGCCGCCTCCGCTGGTGGCCTCCTCCCCTCCCTCGCGTCCCAAGCCACTCTTGGCCGGCAGCCAAGAGCCAATGTCTATCCTTCTAGGACAGAACTGGGCACAGCAGGGAGTTGCTGCGAAGAGGGAGTGTGTCTGGATGTCATTTCTCACGGACCCCTCCCCCCACCCCCAACCAAGCGCACATGGAATCCGCCCAAAGCCTCACCCCCTTCTCCAGTCCCCTCCATCACCAAAGCCCCGCCGACCCTTAGAGATAAGGACCTTGGCCGCCGCGGGTGTGATCGCCAGAGCGGACGTGCACATCTTTTTGCCTACGTGCCCAGACGCTGCTTGCCTTACAGAGGACTTATTGCCTGGTAAGGCCTGGGCGTCCTCACCTGGCCAGCCCTGCCCTTGGGGCACGTCCCGCTTTGCACTTCCTGAAGTTGGAGCTGACCCCTCACTCAGCGGTCCCACCCCACGACCACCCTGGAGTGACTGTCTATCCTCTCTGCTTGCTCCCAGCCATCCTAAAGCACACATTGTCGTTTTGTCACTCCTTCTTGGCACAGTGTCATCATCCCTGTCCCCCCCCCCCCCCCGCACCCTTTAGGATCTTCACTCACAAAGCCTCCTCTCCCCGGGGAAGCACAGACAGCCCCGGAGGAAGGCACCGATCACACTACTGGGAACGTGGTTACCGCCGCCCAGCACCCAGAATGCAGCTCTCCGCGGGATGCACCAGTCCCCTGGCCACCAGAGAAGCCGGGGCAGGCCTGCTCTGTGCGCTTGTATCACTCTCCACTCGAGAGAATAATCTGCCAGCCCCTGTGAGCCTCACAGCATGACCTGACACTCGGGTCAATCGACTGATCCCCCATGAAGGTTTATTCCAAACAGAGTCTTTGGTGTTGACAGAGGACGTGTTCCAAGTGAAAGCTGTCCGAAGCAGAAGAGGATCCAGGACAGTGAGAGAGGCCCAGGAAGGGGGCCTTTGGGGAAGGGTGTTTGCTCTTGGTCAGCTTAGGGAGTGGGGTGGGGGGGGGGGCTTGCAGGTCTCTTTGTTGGTGTGATTTTGTGTAAACTTGTCTCATTCCAAAATTGATCTGAAGGTGAAATCTGGTGAGTTCTATTCTCCCTCCCCCATCCCCAACCCCCGAACGTTCACCATTCCTGCAAAAAACACGTTGCTTTTTGGCTTGGAAATGACCACAGATGTCGCACTTGAAGAAAGCACAGAATCCATTAGCAGAACGTTCTAATTCCAGCCCCATTCATTGCCTTAGCCTTCTAAAGCGTACCTGTGTCTTTCAATGCTCTCTGCAAAACCAGCCCTGATCTGAGGGCGCCACCATTCCCCAGGTAAGCCTCCACACTCGGCGAGCCTGTGAAACATGCCCTCTCCCGGCCCCCAGGAAAATAGCCCTGCACGGAGAACTTGAGGAAACTGATCATTTGGAGCATTCTCAAAACATCAGTATTCAAATGATCGATACTTTCAAAGAAGTAAGGAGAGGAAAGTTTTGAAGACGCGTAGCCTGGCGCAAGGTAATCTTAAGTGGGTGAGCAGCTATTACAAGACAGTAAACAACAGCGAGCATTAAATGGATTAACAGGCACGCTGGAGGCACTCAATAAATGTCAGCCACTTATTTAAGCAGAAAAATCTGACCTGACAGGAAGAAAATAAAAGTGCAGGGTGAGGAGGAAGAAAATGGGAGGGAGAAGGTCCAGAGGTCCCCGTGTTATCATTGGCGTGTTAGCATTATTACAGAATATGTGTAAGAGAATTGCCACTGAATCACAGGTGACACTCTCTAAGTGATACATGAATAGGTGAGCCAGGCGCTGCCCCTTCCCCAGTTCTGGCAGACGCGGCCTTCAGACGAAGAAAGCTCTGAGACATGCGACGGGACAGCTGGCACAGCAGCCAAGCGAGAGAGGAAGGCCTTTGGGGACGGACCTGCCTGAGGGGCTAAGTACCCCTGCGGATGGTACTTCCTTGTCATTCACACGATGGGAAGAAAAGCCCAAGGTCAGCAGAACTGCATCTTGGCAGAGGACAGACTCCCCCAGAAGCGCAGTGGAGGCAGCCCAGGAGGAAGCTGGGAGCCGCCCAGGGCTTGCTCCTGACTTGAAGAATGGCCACGGGTGCCAGCAGAATACACTCAGGGAAAAGGTTCTGAGGTCTGTCCACGCTGTCCCAAAAGGTAAGATTTCCTTCGTTTTTATGGCCAAGTAGGATTCCACTGTCCAAATGAACCACAGCTTTTTCATCCACTCAGCTACTGATGGGCACTTGGGCCGCTTCCAAATCTTGGTGATTGTAAATAATGCTGCAGTGGACATAGGGGAGCTTATGTTCTTTCCAGTTAGTGTTTTGGGTGTCTTCAGCACCCAGCTATTCCACTTCTCAGGAGGTCATAATGCTAAATGAAATAGGCTGGTCAGATAAATACCATATGATTTTACTTATATGGGGCATCTAATGAACAAAATAAACTAACAAAACAGAAACGGATGCACAGATACAGAGAACAGGCTGGCAGCTGTCAGAGGGGAGGGGGTTAGGGGGCTGGGTGGAAAAGGTGAAGGGACTGAGTAAATAAAAAAATACCTCCTAGACACAGACAGCAGTGATTACCAGCAGGAAGGGGGGTGGGGGCAGGCAGGAGAGGATAAAGGGGGGGCAAATGGTGATGGCAGGAGACATGACTTGAGGTGGTGAACACATGATGAAATATACAGATGATGCATGAGTATTATAGAACTGAACACCTGAAACTTATATAATTTTATTAACCAATATCACCCCAATAGAGTCAATAAAAATCAATTTTAAAAAGATGTTTTGACTAACTCTGATTTTATATATAAAATATAAAATGATATGTACATATTTATCTATCTTATTTACTTATTTATATTTTATAGAACTGTATAAATATTTATATGTAAGCGTATATACACTACATAAATACTTATATGTGCATAAGTATGACTTGATGAATTTATATAATATGTAACACAAATTATATTGTAGTATTTTGTCCCTCAAACTCTTTTAGAATCCATTAACTTTAGGAGCTTCTTACCTTCCAAGACAGAGGCATAACAAGTGAAAAGAAATGGTAAGGTCATGGTCAAGACCACTTTGAAACAAACAAACAAAATGTGCAGAGGACCTGAATAGACACTGCTCCACTGGGGACATACAGATGGCCCATAGACTATGAAAAGATGCTCAACGTCACTAATCATCGGAGAGATGCAAATTCAAACCACAGCGAGATATCATCTCACACCTGTCAGAATGGCCATCATCAATCAATCAACAAACAAGCGCTGGTGAAAATGAGGAGAAAGGGGAAACCTTTTGCACTGTTGGTGGGAATGCAGACCGGTACAGCCACTGTGGAAAGCAGTATGGAGAGATCGCAAAAAATTAAAATTGGATCTTCCTTTTAACCCAGTGATTCCACTTCTGGGAATATATCTGAAGAAACCCAAAACACTAATTTAAAAGAGCATAAGCATCCCTATGTTCATTGCAGCATTATTTACAAACACCAAGTTATGGAAGCAGCCCAAGTGTCTATCAGTAGGTGAATGGATAAAATAACTGTGGGACATGTACACGATGGAACACTACTCAGCAGAAGAGAAGAGAAGGGAAGGGAAGGGAAGGGAAGGGAAGGGAAGGGAAGGGAAGGGAAGGGAAGGGAAGGGAAGGGAAGGGAAAAAGAAAAGAAAAGACAAGAGAAGAGAAAGAAGAAAAGAAAAGAAAAGAAAAGAAAAGAAAAGAAAAGAAAAGAAAAGAAAACTCTAAGCTTTGCGACAGCATGGACGGACCTGGAGAATGTTACACTAAGTTGATAATAAGACATTATCAGAGACAACCTTTTTCACCCATGGATAGGGCTGGACAGGTTTCTAATCACTGAACATCTGTTCTTCTTACAGTCTTGCAGTAACCCTCCTCCCCTCTGAAGCTCAGAATGGCATATACACTTCATTTTCTGCTTTCTGCCTTTATTTTTTAGAGAGGGGAAGGGACATGGAAAAATATCAATCAGTTGCCTCCTGTGTGTGCTCCGACCAGACTGAACCTGAAATCCAGGCGTGTGCCCTGACCGAGAGTCAAACTGGCAGCCTTTCACTTGGCAGGATGACATTCAACCAGGTGAGCCACACCGGTCAGGGCCCCTTTCTGTCTCCAAGCCTCTCTTGCATATGGGGTCTCTGATTCTCTGATGTATGTGGAGTTCCCATACGTGCTTAGTTCAGTTTGGTCGTTTTCTCTTGCTAATCTGTCTCTATCAGGCCAGCCAAAGGAATCTTGAGGGTAGAGGAAAGTTTCTCCCCGAGCCCGAAGTTTGCAACTTAAGGAGCATTGAAACTTTGCAGACATGAGATATTTCTGAGTTCCTGCAACTAGAAGGGAAGGGCTGTAGTCTGAATGCGTGCATCCTTCCCAAACCCCTGTGTTGAAATCCTAACGCCCACAGATGGTCGTGTTAGGAGGTGGGAACTTCGGGGGTGATTAGGTCATGAAATGGACTCCTCGTGAGTGCGATTTGTGCTCTTACAAAGGGGAACCCTCAGAGCTCCCCACACCCCGTCTGCCACGTGAGGACACAGTGAGGACGCTCTGGCTATGAACCCGGAGGAGAACCCTCACCTGACCACATCAGCACCCTGATCTTGGACCTCCAGCTTCCAGAACCGTGAGAAATAAACTGTTTATCAGCCACTCGGTCTGTGGTATTTGGTTACATCGGTGCAGACGACAAAGGTAGGAAGCAGGGTGTGCATTATGCTTCCATGTGTATGAAGTATAGGAGTCCGAGTTGCCCACTGTTGAGTGCATGGAGCAACAAAACGACAGCGATTTTTATACGGCACCAGAGCTGACGGCTCTGGGCTGTTCGATAGTTTGACTGTACCAACCGATGTCACGTAATCTGGGGTCTGGTCTGCAGGCTCCCCACGGTCCCCAGATGACAAGGGCAGTCCCAGACATTCAGCCACAGGGAAACCCTGTGTATGCGGTGTGGAGAGGGAGCAGAGAGGGAGAAGGTGAGAACAAGCACATGAAAGGGGACAGAGCTATTAGGAGGGAGCAGGGGAAGGATTCGAGGCAGGACTGGGAATGTAAGAAACATTCATCGTCCAAAATCCCTCGCCACTTACTGATAGCATTTGCGGCGGAACTCCTCCTGCTCGGTGAACGAGAGAAAAGAAAAGTCAGTTTTGGACCATTTCCAATCCGAATGGAGACAAAAAAGCACTAGAAGTTACAAGAAATAGGGGAACTCGCCCTTGATGGTCATTCTAAACCCAGTCAAAGCTTTAGCTTTAAGTCAAGTCCTACGTCATCTCATGATTTACTAAAAGCTTCCACAAAACCAGCAGAGCTCTTCACTGCTGGGTTCGCCTTCCTTTTTAGACGACATGAAAACGAGAGAGGCCATGTGCCAGAGACATGGTGGGAATACTTGTGTGTTGGTGCGGGATGTTAAGATACAACCTATAAGTAAGTACTTTCACCTTTATCTGCCGGAGGCACTGGGTAAACTTCTGGGGTAAGTCATGGGGAGACACAGGTGTCAGAGTCACTCGGATGTGGGATGCAGTCCTGGCGCTGTCTGTTACTAGCCGTGGGCAAGTCACTTCACTTCCCTGAGGTCTGCGCTGTCCTGGAGAATCTGGAGGTAGAGATCCCTCCTCAGGCTGTGGCTGTGAGAGCCAAAGGAGGGAGCATGGTGGGGGGGGCTTGCATGGTGCCTTCTTAGGCAGATGTGCAGGCACTGGGTCAGTCCCTTAGCTTCTGGTGCTCATCCTTCTCAGAGCTATTGCTGACTTCTAGTCCGCAACCTTGTGGAACCCCCTTCACAGTTATTTAGGCTGACCTATTTTCTCTCTTATTATCTCTTTCCCCTTGGTTCAGGTCATCTAATTAGCTCAGAATTAATTAGCTGTCAATTAATAAAACAGTAATAATGTGAAATTGTGATTAATAAAATACAATATTTCACAACTTGAAACTCCTAACTTCGCAGCTATCACAAATACACTTCTCCGTCCAGCAAGACTTGATCGTCTCTTGTTGCATGGCGGAAGAGTGGAGAGGACCAGGGTAATTGGACCAGGAGACATCACTTCATCATCTTCATACAAGGAGGGGCCGTGTTGAACGGTACTACGAGCTCTGGAGGGGCACTAAGCTTCTTGGCTTCTGACAGTGAATGACTGGACAAGTTAGGTCCCTCACTGAATTGCTGAGCCTTCATCTCCCAACTGCTCAAATGCCAATAACAACCTCACACGACTTTGCACATGGAGATGTCTTGAGCATCAAATAAGATGATGAAGATGCACACACACAGACGGATAAAAGGCACCGTTAGTGTTGTGAGTTTGAAGCCATGCGTGGCTTCTCATTTGACTGACTCATGCTTTTCTCCTGCTTATGCCCTTTGATAGTAGCAATGCCCGTGGTTTCTTTGAGCAACCTGATGGATGTGCAATTTTCATTTTAACCCACTTGTATTTTTCACCACCGTGGCATTACTGTGGTTGTTTATGTAAACATCCCCCAGTGTATGTCCTTGTGCCTGTATGGTTGCTCACTTTTTGGAGAATAAATTCCTAGAAATACCAAGTCAGAGTGTGGGTATGTAAAGCTGTGCATAGTTTGTCAAATTGCCACCTAAGTATATTGTACAAATTTATATTCTATCAAAAATGCATGTGATTGTTTTCTTCACTTTATTTTCCAGTTGTCTGTTGCCAGTGGATAAGAATGTAATTGATTCTTTATATTAACTTTCTACCCTCTGACTTTGCCAAGTTCATTTATTAATTTTTAGAGTTCCTGGTATGAACTCTAAAGATTTCCTGGTAGTTTTGAGGTAAATAATCATATCTGCTAATAAAGACAATTTTATTTTTTTTCTTTTATCTTAAAAACAAATGTATGAAAGTTCCATTTCTACTAGGCTTCTAACATCACTAGACCATGAGTTCTTGAATATTTTTTAGGGGGAAGAGTTAACCTTATTCAATGATTTTTTTCCTGTTGGTTTTCTCATTAATATCCAAAACATTTACATTGTATTCTGCATCTAAAATTCTGAATGTGGCCCTGGCTGGTGTGGCTTAGTGGATTGAGCGCCAGCCTGCGAAACAAAGGGTTATGGGTTGGATTCCCAGTCAAGGCACATACCTGCGTTGCAAACCAGATCCCCAGTAGGGGGCGCACGAGAGGCAACCACACACTGATGTTTCTCTCCCTCTCTCCTTCCCTTCCCCTCTCTAAAAATAAATTAATTAAATCTTTAAAAAAATAAAATAAAATAAAATAAAATTCTGAATATGCTTTGGCCATAGGTCTATCTTTAAATTGGTATACTGCTAATAGTCTTTTGATACCATGGCTTTCAAATTCATAAAGTCATCTTGATTCATATTTTGGTCACGTGAATTTCATTTATCGGCTTTTCTTCAAGAAGGGTTCCTGGGTTTTATGTATAATTTTTAATAATGTTTTTACATTGCCAATAATAAGTGAACAAAACTTAGATGGGTGTGAAATTCTTGGTTTCATGCTACATTTTATCTCTTGGGACAGCGCAGACATCGACTCATTGTATCTCGGCATGGCCCACTGCCGTGGAGAAATCCGAATGCGACCTGGCATTCATCCTCTGGTGAGTGGTGGGTGTTTTCTGCCCACGGCATTCTTTCTCTATGTGTGATGCTCAGAAAGTTTTCCAGGATGTACATATGGATTGTTCCATACCAATGTTCCCTTTCGATTTGCCATTTTTTATCTTTAGGTCAGGATCTATGCTTCTATTATATCTTTGAATATTTGTTTCTGGTACACTTGTCTGATCCGTGCCTCAGGGAACACCTAGTCCATAGCTATTACCTTCCTTGCAATTGCTTTAAATTCCTTGGCCCATTTCTCCAGCCTGCCTTCCATATCATTCGTTGTTTTTGACCGAGTGCATTCTGTGTCTCAGCACTTCCAATGTGGGTTTTCATTTCTGTAATATTTTCTTATCTTCTATTCTTCCCCCTAAATTCTGACAGTTCATGGTCATGATTTTACGTGAAAATTTCTTCTGTTACCTGCGTAATGATCATTTTGCCATATTTTTCTGAATATTTTTTCATCTGCCTTTTTGCTGATTCCCTCCTAAATTTTTGGATCTTCCCTGTTTGTTGAGCATCTCTGAGCGGGGCACTCAGATCCAACTCGGCTAAGTGCGTGGGACTCGAGGCGTAGGGTGTCTGGTGACTTCAAATCGGACACGTCGTCTCGGAGTGTCTTTCCCAAATACACTTCTTCCCGTCGTGAGAAGTGGGTCCCCCTGCGCAGCGGCTCCGCGGTGGTTCGAGGGGGAGCCTGCCAGCTCCCTGCTGTGCGCATGCGTTAAGCAGACCCTCCACTCCCCGAGCTCCCAATTTCTGCAGCGGCGCCTGCACAGCAGGGGCGCTCCTGGCTCTTTGTCCCGCTTATTCCCAGACGTTTGCCAGAAGCTGAGAGAGCACGGAGCATGCTCAATGAAACTCTTCTGGGCATTTTTTTTTTCAGTTTTGCCTTCCCCCAGAGAGCTGAAGCCTTGTCTGGGTGCACAGTGGGGCAACTAGGCGGGGCAGCTCTGCCCACCGGGGGCCTGGGAGGTCCCACTCTGCGTGAGTTTAATCTGGGATGAACTATTAAAAGCTCTTTGCTGCTATGCACCTAAACCATAGCCTTCAATGTCTGTAATGACACTGATATTTCATTCAACCAGCATCTATATCTCACCTATCAGTCGCTTCCAAACTCAGGAGAGTAAGAAAGGAGTGCAGGGTGGGGCTGGAGTAGGTTTACGGTTGTGAGTACTCGAATTACGGAGTTTATCCTTGTGTTATTGTTTATCAATTACTGTATCATTTCCAAGGCAAACGACTGTAAACCTACTCTGGCCCCACCCTGCATTGTTTATGAGTCCTGAAAGCCCTACACACTGGTGAGTTGGCAGGAACCTTGAGAAGGATAAAGGTGAATGGCAAGAGGCCAAAGTAACACATGCAGAGCGAGGCTCCTGGTAAGACCATTGGTTCTAAGGCTCCAGGAAGTTTTGACCTTGGCAGGTAGAGCAAGCAATTCCTCCCTGCGGCTGGCAGAGGAGTGGGTGTTGTTGTGGATCTTCGTGAGCGTGAGCTTTTTAAGACCCGATTGTACTGTGTTTCAGTCTTGACTGGGCAAAGGAAATGAGGAGAGTAGTTTGCGGTCAGAAACAACAGACACGCCCTGGCTGGTGTAGCTCAATGGATTGAGGGCCAGCCTGCAAACCAAACGGTCACCGGTTCGATTCCCAGTCAGGGCACAGGCCTGGGTTGTGGACCAAGACCCCAGTAGGGGGAGTGAGAGAGGCAACCACACACTGATGTTTCTCTCCCTCTATTTCTCCCTCCCTTCCCCTTTCTCTAAAAACAAATAAATGAAATCTTGAAAAAAGAAACCACAGACAGATTGAGCCAGGAAAGAGAATTTTCCTGAGGCTAGACAGATGCAAGAAAGGGGAGGGAGGAAGGAAGAAAATGCACACATTCCTAAATCATCTTTGAAGGGAAGGCGAGATTAGGTTAGGTCAGACTAGGGGCTGGGATACAGGGACAGCATCAGAGACGAAAAGGCAAGATGTGCAATGCTTGGCTGAAACCTGGA